GCATTTAAACATGAAATGTGGAAAAAAGAAATTCCGATTAAAAACATCCTTGCCTTATCATACGACAACGCGTCTGTCATGGTAGGGCAATATTGCTCGTTTAAGACTGCTCTTGCAAAAATTCTCGGCGATAACTTTTTAACTTTGAGATGTCCTTGCCATTCCTCTGCATTGGTAGTGCGCGCAGCGTGCAGTACCCTTTCAGACGAATGTGAGGAAGTTTTACATCAAGCAGTAGGTTTTATACATATATTCCAGCCCAAAACGGACTGCAATATTCCGCGAGTTTCAAGAATGTTATCAAATTAAAAGCCGAAAGATTTCAAAATTGTGCACTACGCGCTGGCTTTCCCACCACGCGGCTGCAACTTCATTATTAGATAATTGGGATTGTATTATATCATATCTTCGAGAATTTGTCTTAAGCGAGAAAACAAAGTCTGGGGAACGTCTTCTTATCTTGTTACAAAATCTAGAAATAAAAGTGTGGCGCTGCTTCGCTGCGGGTAGAGGATCTCGTGTGAATTCGTAGGAGGACAGAAAAGGAAAGGAGGGGGGCGCGTTTCGTCCGGGCCTGCCAGTGGACTCATCAGTAAGGCTTTCTAGCAGGCCCTGCCTTAGACGACTGGGATATTGAGAAGTCGTTCGAGGAGTGTATACAATATAGCAACGGAGGGGTCGGTCGAGCGCTTGTGAGAGCGCGACCCCTCTGGTGGCGAGCATGGGAGGCGACGCCACAAAAGCATATATCTATTTTTTGAAATATGCTCTTGGCTTTTTCGTTAAATTTAATATATTTTTTCAAAGCCAAGAAACCAGGATCCATTTGCTTCAACAATCTGCAATATCTATTTTGCAATGCATGCTGTGAAACTTTTTGAAGCCAGACTTGCTGAAGCAAATAGATACTGTTACATATCATTCATGCATGGGGCTGAAACGTTTGGTGACTTGGGCGTTGGCTCGAGCATCTAGCGAGCAACCCTTTGAACGGGGTTGACTCATGCCGTATGCGCACACCCGGCCCAATTTTCATTGCCTTTTATGGTAATGCCCCGCCTTAGTACTGAGCATTTTCAACTATATAAGGGCCGCGGTTTCTTACTCGGGGAGCTCAGTTTTACCTAAACTCTTGGCACGACGTTACTGTGACACTCAGGGCAAGATCGGGCTATAATCCCCTTCAAGCAACTATCTACGACTATCTACCTTAGCGGTTTATCAGTGAGTGTCCATTAATCGAGTAGAGCTCCCGCGAACGCGCCGCGTAAAAGCCGATAACAAATCTTTCGCCTTCGAGGCAATTTAGCAATTGTACAACTTCTTGTAAATCCATAGCTGTACTTGAGCATCGTCAAAAATATATATTCAAGTTATTATTCCTTACGTGTATTATTCACTCAAAGCAACCCTGAACCATATTAACCGTAAGGCTAGGGGTATCTCACGAACCCGGTACACCTTTACCGCTCGAGGTATACCATCACGACAGAGAGCAAGATCCTAAAACATCCTAAAAACCTACGTGGCTCCCAGGGTATAAAGCCCCTGGTTCGTCCACTCCTACTAGCGGCTCCCAGGGTATAGAGCCCCTGGTTCGTCCGTGAAACCATTCATTTTCCCTATAAATCTAACCCCGTGGCTCCCAGGGTATAGAGCCCCTGGTTCGTCCACGTAACCTCCACCTACGGCTTCCAGGGTATAGAGCCCCTGGTTCGTCCGGACCTCCTTTCTTTTCTTAACCATACCCAAAACCACCGGTCGAGTACTGCCCCTCGACCGAATCCAGGATCTCGCGCTCCCGCTAGTAACAATACAATAAATTGATTGAGGAAGGCAAATCCGATATTGCTAAAACCGTTCGGAAACATTGTTTGGATTTTTATATTACAGCTGTAAATGAAATTCGTCATCGATTGCCAATCAATGACAAATTTTTCAGCAGTCTACGTATATTCAGCCATCAATGGGCATTAATTAATAGAAACAGAAACAATTCCTTCAGAGTTGTTCTCTATATTGCAAACAAATTCGACGGTTTCGATATAAAGAGTTTGCGAAAAGAATGGTTTGGCCTACATCTGGATTTTGATACTAAAGAAAAGGAGATGCTTTCTGATAAGAAATTTGATGGCTTATGGAAAATGATCTTGTTAACGCGAAATGAAAACAATGAATTTAAATACCCAAATTTGGGTAAATTAATCAATTCTATTAAATCTTTACCGAATTCGAATGCCGAAGCTGAAAGAATATTTTCCATATTACCAGACGTGAAAACTAGAAAGCGTAGTAGACTTTGTTCAACTTCCATGAGTGCCATTTGTGTGTTGAAATCGTCGTTAAAGACGTCAAGGGGAAAATATCAAACCATAGAGGTAGATGAAAAACATCTATCTCTAATGAGTTCCAAAAATTTATATGCAACACTTGCTAAGAGGCAGAAATGTCAATTACGAATTCATGCCGTAGATGATGACGGTACCGCGAATATTCCCTCTACGTCATACAACGACGATGTTCAAGATTCATCTACTTCAGATGACGCGGGCTAGGCTGCGGTTACAGAGCAAATGTTTTCCACGACATCGCGGTATTTCCCTGTCTTGTCGCTCCTATGAACCGCGACGTAGGCGCAACAAGACGTAATATCGGATAAAAACAATTGCATTGTAACCGCAGTCCTATTGGTGATGTCCAAAATATATTTTTTTGGATATTGCCAACTGACTGTTCGATCTGTCTCGCGCTACTCCTTTTTTAAGTTGCTTGCTAGTAGTATTTTATTTTTTGCTTACTGTATAGTATATGCGCGAAGACAGTTCACCCGGAAATGCTTGTCCGCACTTAATTTTAGAACAATCCTTTCTCACGCACCCTTTCCTTTAGAAATGTAAACAGTTGTATAACACTTTTGTTCCTATAGCTCGTATGTACATTAATGAAAATTGATGTATCTACGAGCTCTTTTTTCATTACATTAGTTTAAACATTTCAATATTGCACAATGTCATAATTAAATAACAGTTTTTTACATTTCCCTCCTGATGGAAGAGACCACCACCTTCCCGTGGTTTCCATTGAGCGGTATCGTGCACGTTATTAATTCTGATGGATCGATACAATTATTTTTTTATGCAAAGTTAAGCCAAATCAAACATATAATATTTAGTTCGCCATAACAAATTGATACGGTTATCTCAAAACATATCGAGGAAAATCATTATTAATTAATTTCCGCAACTATTAATTGTACTGTTTTGTTTATGTTATAAAAATAAGAACTCTTCTTATTGAAAAATGCCACAGCTTGCACGATACTGGCAAAGAGTGGACTCTCATTTTAATTTATTAATTTTCAATCTTAAAGTATTTTGATTTTGAAAAATCGTATTAATAATATATGTACATATGTACGCTTATACATGGGAATAATACAACAAAATTTCTTTTTTTTCAATAATTAAAATATGATCAGGGGGACTTAAAACGTGTATTTCCGTAAAATAAATTTTACAAAATTTTTTTTCATTATGGGTACTTTGCTTATGTACGCCTACATAGGTCGGAAAGTAAAAATGCCTGGGCAATCGAGAATCTCGGCTCGAGAATCCAAATCGTATGCCGTTGACGTGATGTCGAATTTCAGTAGTTCAAGAGCGAAAAGGCAAATGTGAGCCTTTCTCTCTCGACTCCCACGAGGCGGTCCGAAATTACTTCGGGCAGCTTCGGAGAATCGAGAAAGAGGGCATGCGTCAGTTTGCCTTTGTCGACTTTCTGAAACTCCACGAGCTCACGTACGCGTGATCTGGCATGTGTGAATAGGGCATCGTGGATGCCTTCTGGCACCTCTGTAGGGCACCGTCGATGCTTTTCTGGCACCTCACCTCTGCATGGATTACATGTGATATGGACAACTTTGAAAAATTCCTATTCAGTAACATTCAGTATTACCAACTTTTGTTATTGTGAATTAATTGAAGCTCGATTAATCACCATCGAGTGTAGGATCATGTAGCTGCATTCAAATTAGGAGCGAAATTCAAACGGACTAGCATGTGTAATGTACAATACTATTGTATGAAATTTAACGCCGGCAATCAAGCCGGGGAAAGTCGAGGGTTATAAACTTTCTTAACGGCTGTGTTCAGGATTGGTGGGTTTACGATACAGTCGTGACTTCTCCGCTATTTTTGAGGATTAAAATTTCAAGACCTTTTTTTTAGCAAACTACGTTACGGTCATTAACCGTACTCTAAACTCCACTCAGGACTTGGAATACTTGGGGCTCTTCCTCGCCTCAATAGCGATTGACGTATCGTAAACCCGCGTTGGCGTACAGCTGCGGAACATCGGGGTCTTGGGGAGCCGACGACGGCTTTTCCCAAATTATTATTAAAAATGCAGCGTTCTCGCTCATCCTTGCGTGGCCTACCTGGACGCTAGACAGCAAAGTGGCGGGATTGTTGTAGCCAAAGGTACCAAGGTGATGACATTGAAGATTGGCTTTACCAATGCTCTCTCCGGTGAGCAACGTTCGTCGCTGTCACCTTAGTAGGGCAACCGAGGTTTCCTTATTAGAAAAAATAAAAATTTAGAGTTAGATTAATTCTTGAGAGAAAGCAGAGCAAAATTTTAAATTCCGACAAGTCTGTACATCTCCAGAGTTGACTCTTAATAAACGAAAGTGGAAGTTACAGCGAAGCATTTCGAGTTATTTATTTTGCGCGTCTCGCCGAGCAGAGCGGCCAGCGCTCCATGGGTACCAACCCACCTCCTTGTCTCCCTAGACCGCCGATTCGGGACGCAATATACATGAACCTGTAATTATCAAAGTGGTTAAGCCAAGAAACGAGTATTAATAATTTTGTTTATTATACTTTTAAAAATAAAAATACAATTAAAAATAATGGCAATATTAGAAGTGATACGCAAAGATTTTGCACTTTTATTGCTATAAACTTGGCAAATTGTGTTACTGTTGCGTCGCCACAATTGTCATGAAAATTCGCCACTGCATCAATCGATGGTGAAGCGTTATCAGGGTGACATTCTTTAGTCTCTTTCGTGTAACGTGTTTGTACCGTGAAAGAACGTTTGGGGTTCGGCGTATTAACGGCGCAATTTGAAAAATGGCATGGTTATGCGGTCGTGTTGTTTTCCAGACATGTAGACGTACATTTTCTCGAAACATTATTGCGCGTAGAGACGATACAAGTAAATTATAGATGGTCTTCTTACGTTTAGAAAATCGTCAAACTTTAGCTTTTTACACCTTTGTATTACGTAATGCGATAGTACAATTGTTTCCATAATATTTGTACTTTTGTATTAAGTACAAGTAAAATTTCTATTTATAATCATTTTTCGTTATAGATTTCACTGATCCGCTAGATCATGCAACCGGACAAGAGAAACGAGAATTACTTGCTGCAGCTGCTGGCAATTTTGTAAGTTTCCATAATCTGTAAAACAAATTCGAAATAATAACACAGTTCTTTCTTATTCAATATACGTTGTATTCGATACAATAATATATACAATTAAGTAATATTCTATATCTCTCACTGAATAAAACTATTCAAATTTTAATCAGTCACCTTTTTATCGTACTTTTATATTATTTATGAAATATAGAAATTTTCTATAATTTTAGTGTATAAAATAATAAAACCTTTTGCATTGTCTTTAAATTAGTTTTAAAATTCAACATTCGTTAATTAAAATGAATCTTCATTTTAAAGGTTCAATACATATTAAATTAATGCAACATAAAATTTCTTATGGGGAAAAAATATTCATTTTTTAAATATCATTGTATGTATTTATTTGATATTGTTTTAAATTAGAAGATATTAAGTTTTCTTTTTCTAAAAGAAAGTTTAGATAAGTATCTGTATGGTATGAATTTTTATTCTCATACATTATAGTATTTTCAATTTTTAAGAACGAAAATGTTTATTCTACGTGTATTTAAAATAAGGTATTACGAGCAAAGTTGTCAATAGAAACTAGTCAGTGTTTTTTTTAAATTTTATGTAAAGACTTTTATATTAAATTCTTAAGATTATATAGTCTAATTTATATAATTTTTTATTGTAGGATCCATATCATATGAAAGCCTTAGAAATAACATCTGACAGCACAAAAGAAAATCCAAATTTAGTACCTAGTGTGTTCAAAAGTCGTATTGTTGGATGCGTTTGTGAAGAAGATGCTGCTCACGTGAATTGGATGTGGTTACATGAAGGCACTCCACGACGTTGCGAATGTGGTCATTGGTTTAAGCTAATTGAAAAAGCACCTCTTTAATGTCTTTAGATTAATTAGTGAGTTATTTAAAACATAGAATTAATGTTATACAACACTACAGACTGCTTTTTATTTATATCCTTCCATATCCTGTTATTGTGCTTTTATAAATTAATAAATAACTAATATGTCAGTGTTGGTAAAAATTTAGTAATAGAATTAAAAATAAATTTTACGAATCTTACATGTATTTTTATTTCTAGCAAAATCCAATACAGTTATTATTCCTGTTTACTTAAACTTTTGTAAGATTCAGCAAATCCTTTTGAGTAACATACATCATACGTATATTAAAAATAAAAAAGGTTGCATTGTACGATAGTTGATATTCAGAAAAAAGATGTCATTTTCTTTTAAAATATTTCAAAATATTTTCTTTGTATAAGTATTAGAAACTAATTCAAAAACAGAATAAAATTCATGTTTTAGTTGGTTACTATTTCCATATTTTATTTTCTTGTAATACATATAATATCTCGTTTGAGCAAAGCTATGAAAAGATAATTGATTCTCTGAAAAAAGTTTTGTAAAATTAATCGATAACATATATAATAAATATAAATAATCAGCGACACATGTGATATTTCTTTATTAAATTTCCATATTAATGACTTTCTTTATCGAGTAAATAATTGTATCGATATTTTATGATTTTGTTGATAATAATATAAATTTCGTACAAGTCTATACTTATGTGTCGTTTGTGTTCCTATCTTTCATTGACACTTTATTACAGTTTGTAAATATATATTTTATCTATATACTCTAATAATATGTACATTAAACCTGGCCAAAGTTTATTATAGATTATTTATTTATAAATTAATTTTAAATACAGTTTACACCTTGGTACAATCTTCGAAAAGATGTGGTTCTCGTAGTTGCTAGAATGTCGGTCCTTGGTCTACGAAACAGTAGTACATGAGGTTCTAAAAATAATTTATGTTTAATTATAATATAATTAATACAATTTTGAACATATTACGATATATTTCCGTATTTAATATTACATCATAATAGACTATGTATATTGAAATCAAATTGAAGTAATTATTATTATGTTTTACAAATTTATTTAACCCCTTATACTACGCTGAAATTGGGAAGAAGCCGTGCCTAACCCATATGCCCGAATGATCGGAAATCGGAACGCGCCCGAATCACTGAATATTGAAACTTGAAACACAATATGTCGATCGACGAAATATCGATATTTACGAGTTCGACTCGTGATATTCATGTTTGGCCAGAAATGTCGATTACGAGTTAGACACGAATTATTCACGTTTGACATGAACTTAAACAATGAGCCTGACTCGTGATATTCAAGTTTAGCCTAAAATTTTCATCACGAATTAGACCCGTGAAAATAGTGCAGGAGTTAATACATCTACTATAAAATATGTTTTACGGAAATTTGTTAATTGCGCTGGGCGGGCAACGCCTTGGAGGCGTTGAGCACTGCCCTTACTATCCATAAAAGAGAAGGGGTACCGCCCGCCGTGAAAAGAGCTTGTATTATAGTTACACGTAATACTGTAATATTCCATTTGAGGAGAAAAATATTTTACATACAGATTTAGTTACATGTTAAATTCTTAATGATTTTTCCCGACAAAATTACTAATTCTCCATGTAAAATATCATTAAACAAATTTTTCTTTTGTATATTTTTTCGAGTTTAAACATGTTTATAAATAAATATTATTTATGTCAATTACTGTTTCAAGTGATGAAAAAAACTTAGCAACGGTGTTTCCATGTCATTGTACTATTACAATATTACTGTTGGTAAGCATATGATTGTTTGATTTACTAATTGAACATTATTTTAGAGGTTTAAACTTGACTAACTAATTATAATTTTATAAATCGAAAGTTGTAAATTTTAATTCATTTCTAAATTTTATAATTACGTAATATTTAAAATTTTAAATTTATAGTTTTACACAATTTGCATGTTGTCACAATTTGATTACTATTTAAAATTAAAATTTGCGATTACAAATAATTTTGTTTTTTAATTATGGATGTTATTGTTTATTCTATTAATTGTTTAACAGTTAAATTTTATTTTAAAATATAATTGTAAAATTTTCAAGATTATTACAAAAATTTAAGTGATAATGTCTGTACTATGTATTAATATTTCAGAAAATGTCTTTTGATGATAAACATTTTATGTGTGCCTCTCAACTAAATATAAAAAAAAGAAAGTTATCAAAAGATAGCAAAGTCTATTCTCAGGACGAAATTAAAAGAGAATCAGAAGAAGGTAATTTTTCTGAAGATGAACATGTATTAATTTCTGAAGATTCGATCGAAGAAGATGGTAATTCTGGTAAAGATGAATTTCATTTTCTTGCTGAAATTGCATTAGGCATCGAAGAATGGTCAGATGACCCACCACAAAGAAGTTGCATACAATTTATTGGAAATCCTGGATTAAAGGAAATAGTGCAAGAACAGACACCTTTTTCTTACTTTTCCCTCTTTTTTACATCAACATTTTTAGAACTTTTAGTGGCAGAAACTAACGCATACGCAGAAATTGTATTTTTGCAAGATTGTGGAGAAAGAGCAAGAATTTCTGACTGGAAAGACACTACTGTAGATGAAATAAAAATCTTCCTTGGAATACTATTTTTGATGGGACTCATCAGAATAAATCGTATGAATGATTGTTGGAGGAAACATTATTTGTTCAATTTACCTTTTGGAAAATTTATGGGTCGTGACCGATTCTTATTGCTTTTAAGATGTCTTCATTTTGATCGGTTACAACACTCTGATGATAATTTAAGTAAAGTAACTACTATAATTGATTATTTCAATCAAAACATGGATAAAATTTATAGTCCTTTTAGAGAACTTTTGATAGAAGAAAGTGTGGTTCTATGGGGAGGGCAAATAAATTCCAGAAATTATATGATAAATAAGAAACATAAATATGGCATAAAATTACATACTTTGTCTGAACCATCTGGTATAATTAATAAATTACATGTACATGGGAGTTCAAGCAACGAAAATGCAGGAGATATGAATCATATCGAAACAATTGTTGACAAATTATTAAGTGGAAAGACAGGGAAAGGCCATGCAATTTTTATGGACAATTATTATAGTAGCGTGTCATTAATTAATGACCTTCTTACAAATAAAACCTATTGTACAGGAAGTTTACAACCAAAGAAGCTAGGTAATCCACCAGAGGTAATACAGAAAAAATTACAAATTGGAGAGTTTGTATATAAGTATAACAAACAAGGAGTTTGTTGTTGTAAATGGAAAGACAGAAAGAATACTTATAGCATATCAAGTGAGTTTGGAGGAGAACTTGTGAATGTTAAAAATAAACAGGGAGAGGAGAAGAAGAAACCTAAACTTATTATAGAGTATAACAAACATATGCAGAAAGTCGATAGACAAGATCAGATGCTATCGTATTATCCTTTAACACATAAAACTCTACAGTGGTATAAAAAACTGGGCATACATACAATGCATATAATGCTCAATAATGCTCACATTCTTTATAATAAATATTGCGGTACCATAAAAAAAGATTTGCACGATTTTCAGTTTGAAATTGTTTCGACATTACTGCCTCCGCCAGATCAAAATATTCCATCATTTACACCACAATTTAAAGTACATTTACCGGAGTTACTTCCCAAAGGAGCAAACAACAGAATTATGAGGAGAAGATGTAAATTATGTAACGATAAAAAAAATATTAGATTGGATACAATTTATCACTGTTCAGATTGTCCATCAAAACCTGGCTTATGTTTAACTCCTTGCTTCAGAGAATTTCATAAATATAAGTGAATTAGTTTTTTTAATATATTACATGTGTTGACAAATTTTTTAATCTTGCAAATATTAAAATAGTTCATTTTAATACTTATATTTGTTATGAGACACTGAGACTGATTTCTCATATTTTTTATTTTCTCTATATTATATTAGTAATCATAAATTTACTACATAAATATTGTAAAAACCTTTTCTTTTTTCAATTTTATATTAATCTAACTTGTTCCCTTCAAGGGGGAACAACACTTTGACAAGCCAAAAATTGTAGTTTATATTGGTTATGGTCATGGTTCTACAAAACCATTATTATATTCGTTCCATATTGGTTTTGAAACGGTTCTATGTTTTATATTAATTATGAAATGATTTTGTTATACATATATTGATTTTATTACTTTATCTATTTTTAATAAATAAATAAATAAATTTGTTGATATATACTTATTGTATAAGCATAAAGTTATGTATAATTTATTTATTTTTTATTGTATAAGATATAGTAATAAAGTATTAATATTAATAAAACAAATATGAATTAAAAATACCCAATGGACTGATTTAATACCAATAAATCTGATACAAAATTTTACAAAAATTGATATATTTTTTAGAGCATGCAGAATACAAAAACAATTCATAATTGACATAAGAACACTTTAGAATCATTTTAGAACCATGGTTATAAATCAATATTTTTTTCATTCATAACCATTACACTGTCATTTTGGTTCTTATAACTATTTCATAACTGAAATTAATATCATAACTGTTTTCAACCTTTACAGGGTGTTTGGTTACCCCTAGGAAAAATTTTAATGGAAGATTCTAGAGGCCAAAATAAGACGAAAATCAAGAATATCAATTTATTAACTAAGGCTTCATTAAAAAGTTAAATAAAAAATTAAATTAAAAAATTTCAAATCATTCTGAAAAAATTATTTTTGGTTGCGGCGCTCGATTACAATTATTTTTGGTGAATACACATACCCCCGAAATCCTACCCACTTTTTAGAAAAAAATTCAGTACGGGCGGAACTTTAAACGTTAATAACTTTTTAACGAAGCCTCCATCAACGAATTAGTATTCTTGATTTTCGTCTTATTTTGGCCTCTAGAATCTTCCATTCAAATTTTTCCCAGGGGTGGCCGAACACCCTGTATATGTATATTATACATATATGTATATTTAATATCTGCATCATAATCAAATAATTAAGAATATTTAAAAATATTAATACGGAAACTTTATATTTATACACGATTAATATAAAGAAAACCATTTTTTTTTTCTTGGAAAGAATAAACATATTATAAATTTTTTAAACCATTCCTTTATATCTGTATTAATATAAGCAATATTTATTTTTATTCGATTAAAACGTACAGTAGGTCACAAAATTACTCGCTCAGTCGATAATGCGGCAAAGATGAACGAAATGATCAGGCAGCGAAGGATTTTTTTAATGCCTTTTTTATTTGGATATACATAACTTAGATTCAATGTAACAAAATCGTAAAGTAAAATTGAAAAGTTTCGATTCATAATTGAAAAAAAACGAGTTATAACAAATCTTTATGCTTTTTCACGTCACAAAATTATTCGCTCACGCTACGAACAAACTAAAACAAATGTAATCTATAAATTTGATGAGCATTTGTTTCTGACGTTATAACACGATACGAAGAAGAGGGACGCGTAGAAAACAAAGCAGACCGTTATAAGAAGAAATTATTAAATTGCTTAGAAAAGCGTTTTGTAATGAGAAAAGTTAAAGAAGATCCGAAAATAAGTGCTCCCCGAATAAAGTCGCTTCTGCAAAATTTTGCTAAAAAAGAAGTTTCCGACGAAACAGTAAGAAGAACACTACGGAAAAATGGGTACAACGGCCGCGTAGCAAGGAAAAAACTATATGTAAGTAATGTAAAAACGAAATCTGTATGTCACAAAATTGTTCGTACACTAAAATACGAAGGTAGTAAATCTAATAAATCTAGTAAATTTTTGAAACATAATACCTGGGCTTCCCCGACAATGTTTTGTTTACGTTGTCATGATGTTGTGATTCAGTTGAAAGATAACAATCATTTAGAAACAATGAGTGCTTCTAAGAGAAAAACAAGCGTTGAAATGCAGGAATTAATTATTAAATTGTATAAGGAGAAGAAATCTCTACGTGAAATTGCTAACATTGTGGGCAGAAAACATTCTACTATTCAGTACATAATAAAATAATTCAAAATAGCTGGAAAATATGAAAACAAAACACATAGTGGTCATCCTAAACTCCTAAGTAATAGAGATGTTTGATATGTACTGCAAATTATTCGCCAAGATCCAAAAGTAAGTGCTCCAAAAATAGCTGCAGAAGTAGAAAATGATTTTGGAAAAACAGTACACCTTGAAAATATTCTAAGAATTTTAAGTAAATCTGGATATCGTAGTCATATGCAGTGGAGGAAACCCTTAGTCAGTGACATCAACCATTCTAAGAGAATTGATTTTGCAATAAAACATGAAAACGAGAATATACAATTTTGGGAAGAGAGAAATTTCGTCACTGACGAAAGTAAATATAATATTTTTGTAGTGGATGGAAGAGGCAAAATATGGAGAAAAAGCAGCATAGCATTTGTAATCAAACGATCATTTTAGGAGGTGTACAAAGACTTTCGTGACTGACTGTATATTTCAAAGTCTCTTGAATTTTGGCATAATGTCATATTTTGCGACGAAAGCAAAAGCAAGTTAGGCGAAAACCAAATGCTGAATTGGATCCCAAGAACCTGCATAGTACTGTTAAGCAAGGGGGTGGTCATATAATGGTTGGGGCTTGTGTTAGTTATCATGATGTGGGTAAACTGCAGATTATTATGGATACAATGGACAAACTGATGCATTTAAATATTTTAAAAGAAAATTTAAAACAAAGTGCTCGAAAGATGAAGATCTTAGACGTATTCCACTTTTGCCAAGATAACGACCCCAAACATAAATCGTGATTAGTGCAAGAATGGTTGTTACACAATTGCCCGAAAGTAATGAAAACTCCACCTCGGTCCCTGGATTTAAATCCTATTGAGATGATATGGAATATATTAGATGTTAAAATACGTAAACACTCAATTACAAATAAAACCGAACTACAAAACAGATTACAAGAGGAATGGCAAAACATTGAAATTAATTATTTAAAAACAATAATGGGATCGATGCCAAAAAGACTTGCAGAAGTTATAAAACAGAAGGAGTATCCCACTAAATATTAATTTCGTTAGAATAGTAATTAATATAAAATGAGCGAATAATTTTGTGACGTGAAAAAGCATAAAGATTTGTTATAACTTGTATTTTTGCAATTATAAATCAAAACTTTGCAATTTTTTTTACAATTTTGTTACATTGAACTCTAAGTTATGTATATCCAAATAAAAAAGCTTTAAAAATCCTTCACTGTTTGATTATTTCATTCATCTTTGCCGCATTAACGACAGAGCTAATAATTTTGTCACCCACTGTAAATGAAAATAAAACATTTGTATCAAATTTTAACATTTGATAATTAGAATATGAAAAAGAATACTTTTGGATTGTATACCTGGTACATGCATCATGTAATGGACCCAACCAGGACTTTGTTGGACTCCTAAGTTTCTCCATTCAGTTTCCGACATAAGATGAGTTTTTGGAACATGCCTCGCTAAATCAATTGGCAGAATAACATGCCTATGAACAAACAGCGGTTTAAACAAAATTTTAATACTTGTCATTATAATATTATATAAAATTCTAATTCGTGTATCGAACAATACAATAATAATTACTTATATCTTTACATTACACAAATTATTTGTAACATGGATAGATTATATTAAATTTGGTTATGCATAGTTTAGACATTAGTTATTTCAATTTTATGTGTATGCATCAAAGAAAAGTGAAGTATATACAGATTAGGATCGGTATTCGTAAAACATTATTACAATATTCTAACTTTCAATCAATATATTAATTATTTATCTAACATTTTAACATCAATTAACTATATTTTTATACAAACCTATATTCATACTTATCATCGCTGTATTTTTCAGAATATTGTATTTGATCAATTGGCATATTGAATCCCAAAATGTAAACATTTGTTAATTTTATTTTATTTTTTCTGTAATCGTTTTCGTAGCAATTATATAGGTATACAGAAACCAATTTTGCCTTACTTTTGACGATATCTAAAAAACATATATGTAGTCGTCTGTAAACAGATTTGACAAGTATTAAATTTTATTAAAGAGCGATAACAAGTAATGAGAGGACTTCGCGCCTTTTAAAAAATCAGTGCGCCCTTTCACAGTTTTGCTTAAATCAAATGCAAAAGAGTCAGAAAAAATTTGATATGTAAGTACGTACTATAATAGTCCGTTCAATGCATGATTAAATCAACCCACGTGCTTAACTGCTTACGAAGTAATTACTATCGTCCTTCCACGAGAAGAAGGCATAGCGTGTTTACATCCCCACTCCTGTTGCAGTCCGCCGACTCACAGGTATTGGTCGAAAACGGTGACGAAGATCTGTGACAGCCAATCAGCGCACTGCAGCAAAAGTGGGGATGTAAACACGCTCTGCCTTCTTCTCATGGAAGGACGATAGTTTGTTACGTCTCTGATCAGGACTACTAGAAGCGTACCGTACCGTGAATACGATATACGATGCGTAACAGATCCAGAACTTTTATTAAAACGTTATAGATCAATAGAATCATCAAATGAAACCAAGGACTTACATATATTAATATACAAAATACCGGTATTTTACCGTTATGTTTCGGTTTACCTTCATGATTCTTATAGAAACCAAAATATAGACATACCGATATGACCTCTATATGAAAATACCGATATGTTTAGCTATATTTATCAATAATTTTTTCGGTTCCTCGATTTCATTACAATTTTCTCTTATTAATGTCTTACACTGTAAGAGTGTAAAATGGTACATTGATATTTGCATATATAGATAATAACTTATAGAATGGATAAATGTTATAATATTTGTATTTACATGTTTGAAACATAGTCCTTTACCATTTCGTCCAGACGCGTCACATGATTTTGGTTTACACGATATCCTGTGTGTACAGGAGGTACGTACTACATATTGCTTGAAAAATTGACTTTTACGCAAAAAAGCAATTACTTAAAAGTTGAAAATATTCAAACTCGTGAAATTAATAAATTTTGCTGTTTAGTAATTTTTGTAAAATGCAAGATTTATGCCCAATTTGTTTAAAAAACGGCTTAAAGAAAAAAGTAAAATTACTGCAAATTAATTTACAAGAAGGTGTCCGGGTATGTGAAGAAGAAAAGGTAAATGTTTGTATGAAATATTCATATTCCCTTGTATGTTGGAACACATTTTGCTTTTAAGTATTTTGATAAGCGTTTCCACTTCTCTTACGAATTATATTATTTAATGATATAACCTCATATAACAACAAAAATATCTTTGAAAATTCGATATAGTCTCGTGTTATAAATATTTTTTATACCACAAATTTATACTAAATAATTAGAGTATTTATTTTCTATTTCAGTGTATATGGCCTTTTGGCTATGAAGATTTTGTAATTTGTCAAAGAGTAGTGGGAAAAATATGGTCTTGCTATTGGGATGATTATAAGTCAACGCCAAAATTAAAAGAAGCTGTTGCAACATCAGCAAAACCAGCATTATATAGTATCCCTACAACATCTAAAGACACGTCAAATAAATGTATTTCTAGTTCTATTTTAGATACAAAGCATTTAAAAAGTATCGATAATATAAATAATACTTCAAATACAATAGAAACAAAAGCTTGTGATTTACAAACTTTGGATGATAAAGAATCTTATATACTGTTGCATAAGAACAATACGGAGCATTGTAATACAGATAATAATATTTTAAGTAAAGAAGCTACTATTTGTTCAAATATAAATGCCAACAATTTGCAATTATTTAATAGTAACACAAAGAATATAAAAATTGAAAATGAATTTATAAATTCAGTAGACTCACACATCAAAGACGATAAAGATTTTTGTACAAAAAATATTCAATGCAATAGCAATGTAAGAGGAATTCCTAAGATAAGAAGTATTGAAAAAACAAGCATTGATATTTCTAATGTTATAACAAAGAATCAAAATTCTACTCATGAAGACTTAGATAAAAAGGTTTTAACTGTTAATAAGTCAGCAGATAGTGCAGAAGAAAAATTAATATCTTTAACAAATGGTAACAATTTAATAGAATCTGAAAAATTAGTAAATTCTGAGCCATCTGAAAATATTCAACATAATAATGAAGTAGCAATAACAAAATCGAATTTGAGCATAACTATGATGGAAATAGATGGTTTACCCCCTATAACATTATCTTTTGAAATTCCTGCGAGTACAACAATTCCTAAAACAGTAACATCTAGCATACAACAAACTGATTATAAAATCAATACTACTGAAGGTATAGTCAATACAAAATCAAATATTTCAGAAGTGAAAAGTATATCTCGAATACGAAATGTAACTAGTGGTAAACATTATGCAAAATTCAGTTTTAGTGCCATTAAGAAAAAAATTGACTCAAATAATTCCATTAATACAAATAATAATAGTACGGATTCTATCAATATGAAGTTAAATCCGGCAATAAAAGATGTGGAAAAAAGTGATTTCACAAATTGTGCAAAAAATGGAATTTCAAATGAAAATTTCATGTCAAATAATAGTAACAACTCTGGAATAATCAGTAATTTATCAAGTCAAGAAAATATAACATCTTCAGAAATAAATACTAGTGTCAATATAGATACTGTCTTAGAAGATTTTTTAAGTAGTGATTATAGCGTTTCTGAAGATATAAATGATGAATGGATAAATTCACTATTGAGTTAACATTGAATTAATATTTGAAAATGTAATTTTTAATTTTCTACAGCAATATTAAACAGTGTTTATTTTGTAATATATTTCAGTAAATTTATTATAATTTAAATCCATGAATAAAACATAATATTTAGGATGTCCGACCAAGTTTCTGATCAGAAAATACAGTAATGTATTTATTTCTATTAATTATTATTGTAGTAAAAGTTGTTCCTAAATCTGTTAAAAAACACAGTTCAGACACGTCGAAGTATAGCCGTTTTATTTAGATATCTCACAAATTTCAATACAAGAATAATCTGATCTTCATATAATTCTAAAAAAATGGAAATAAAGTTTTGTACTAAGAACTATAATGTCGTATTAAATTCCATGTTGTTTTTTTGAACTATAAATTAATATAAATGTTAAGATTTTATTAACATATCTTGCCATAAAATAATGTTTATAATCTATAAGAAATTTATATCGTATACATATATTACAATACTATACAAGTTATGAATAAATTATTATAACAGTAGAAATTATTTTTTTAATATTAGCAATACTATATGCTGACAGTTGTTTCAAGATATTGTAATTGTGTAAGTTTTCAAAAACTTATAAACTTTTGCCTTTTTTGCAAAAAATGATCACGTAGTATTTAGAGTCCAAACGTCTATAAATGTAATAATTGAATGAGCTGATTTCAACTAAAAACATTCCTCATTAAATCCATATTTCTACAGTCCACTTAAAAACACATACATATTTCTAGTTACAATAATAAATTGATGACGAATTAATTTTGAAGTTATTGTACTTGATGAAATCTATAATTTTAGTATATGCAAAATTGAAACAAACCTAAGACACTTTCAATGAATTATAATACACCAAATTTTTGAAACATACAAAAAAAAATGTATCATACAATATAAAACACTTTTTTAAAGTTTCGTAAGAGATATACTTAACAATTTTAATAGTTACTTATAATATGAAATGAACATAAAATCTTAAAAAATAGTTGCAGAAAATATATTTATATTTTACAATTATAGTGAATTGTAAAACAAAAAGGTAATTTACAATGTAATAAAAAAGCGTTTACAACTATTACGTATTCAGCTTTTTTCTTTTATAATTTCTTCTTGTACAATTTTTACTTCGCGTCCTAAAAAATCATATTTGGGATGATTTGGTTCTGAATCTTGATCTGTATCTGAACTACAATCACTATCACTAGAATCTTCATAAGAACCGAGTCCAGGGAGTATTCCAATACATTTCATTCCTCCAATTTCATTCATTATGGTCTTATTTTCTAAAGAGACATTATTAAGTAACTTAACTTCAGATTCAACATTTTCTGTTACTTTCTGCTCATTTACTTGACAGTCTTCGTTTTCTAGTACATCTTTACTATCATCAGTTGATAACTTTCTCTTAACACCCTGTATAACATCGCCTAGACACACAACATTGAAATTATATCGAGACAAAAAAATATTTCCAAATTCTGTTGGATTGCAATATAATTTAATTTTCATTATTAATTAATGATTTACAATACTATAGAAGATTCAATGTAAGAAAAATAGAATATACTCTTACCCTGTTTTTGCTTTTCAGAACGCTTGACTACAACACCAGCCAATAATTTTAACTGCGATGTACGACCACTGAAATATAAAATTCAATTTCCAACATTCTAAACTACACAATAATGGCAAATTCATAATTATAAAATAAAATTATAAATTATTATAATTATAAATAAAATATAACTATGAATTACCGTGTAAATTTACTTTTCCTTTACTATATAATCGTACGAAAATTGTAATTATTAGAAATATAAAAAAATTTTACCTTCCAGAAGAAACATTTTTATTTATAATTTGGGGATTTTTTAATTCTTGCTTTAATTTTTCATTCAATGATTTTTCTTGCAATGATGCAACAGCTGCTTTAAAATCACGCATTTCTTTTTCTTCTTCAAGATTCTTTTTACGTTCTTCTTCTAATTTAGTTCTATCTACTAAATCCAAGAATTCTACCTCGTCATCGTCTAAACCTTTTATCATATTTTCTAAAATAAAAAAATTATTATTTAAAACAAAGAAACATATAAATTTTACATATAAGTATAACTGTATTTCTCGATTATTAACTTACTTAATTTATGTGCTTCTTCATATTCTGCATCTCTTTTAGTTTTTTGTTCTTGCAGTCGTTCGTACAAAGATCTTGGATCGTACGATTCTTCTGGAGCTTCTACAAAAATTAGAAAATGTATTTAATAACAATTAATTATATGAAATTATATTTTCAAACAGTATAATTATAACATTTTCTAAGTAAATAGTGAAGGATATGTATCACAGAGTAAAATAAATAATAATAACCTAATGGTTGATCTGCCGATCGAACACGTTCCCATTCTTGTTGTCGTATCCTTCGTTGTTCTGCAATTTCAGCTTCTGATATAAATCCTGAGCTCATTTTGACCTAGAAATGATATATATTTATGAAATTTAAACTGTAAATTCTTTGAGAAACTGAAACATTTTAAGTAATAATAATTATTGATTCCCAATTATATTTAGTACTAATACTATTTATTTAAATACCATGTAAAAGATAAACATGATATTTATAATACATCTAACTATATTTGACAATAAATTTCATTTGTTTATAGCTGTTTGTGTTTATATTATTATCAACGTAAAATAATTAATATCAAACAAAGTATAAGATTTTAAAGAAATGTATGTACGTATATACAGTCATTAAGAACTGAAAATGAAAGAGGTTAGTATTAAAAAGTGCCTATATAATAAGTAATACCATATATTGCATAATTGTTGCATAATATATACTGTATAATACAAACACACACGTATGATATTCAATATTTAAAAAAAACTTACCAATGTTATCTTTAAGAATAAGAAATGATGTGACAGATACGAATGTACAATAACACAAAGGTTTTCTTAAGCACTTTTTTCAAGATCTTTAATTTTAGAAATGTTTAACATTTATAACAAATTATTCACTCCTCACCATAAAGCAAATATTCAAATTTGTCATAAACACTTTTTAAGCTTTATATTTAGTACTTAAAAATTGTATGTCCTTAAAATTAAGTCAACTTTATTGTTAACATCATCTATACAGTATTATTTGTGGTACCCTTAATCCATACACGAAAATTTTTGTTTTTAATTTATTAATGGACAATAATTTATTAATACTGATAATTTTTCGAATTAGTTAAAGTCTTTTTACTGTATAGATAAAATTAACGTTTCTAAATCAGAGATCAAAAACAAATATTTAGTATTATCTACACTATTGCGAGGTTAAATTCAAGATATAAATTTGAATGATTACAAATGTAGAGTAAAACATTAAATACTTAATCATGAGCAAACCAGTTGTTCGATACAATTGTATTTATAACCATTTAAAGTGAAATAACTCTTTACAATGTCTTATAAACGTATCTTACGAAAACGATACTTCAGACACTTTGCAGATTGCCAGAAGTTACCGAACTACGACTATATGCGCTTGCGCTCACTTATAAAATTTACATACAGTAGAATTTTTCAAACTCGAAACCAGGGCAGTACTAAATAATTTAATTATATTCTGTAACCAGCTTGAGTAACACATGAAGAAAAATTAAATTTGATCATTAAGTTCATCCATTATACAAACATAAATGTAGCAACAATGTATTTGAAATAGCAGGCAAGCTGAGTGTCACGGACGCGTACGTATAAGCTGAATTCGATGTCTGGTGCGAAAGAAATATTATTATCTCGGAAGCTAGTGCCAACCGGAAATTTTTACAGAGAAAAAAGTTATTCAAAAATTATATAAAATTAATTAATTTTCATTCGAGATAATTTTAAATAACTTATTAACATACAAACCTATATTAATTACATTTGGCACAATGACTAGCTTTTTAAACTACTTGTCAAATATCGATTATCAGCCAATTGCAAATAGTTAAGATAAGAAAAGACAAAAAATAAAAGTGTATTTCAAATATTTTTATTTTTTTAACAAATTATACATAGGTTTCTGGAAACTCGAATGTTACATCCCGACCTGTTAATTTTTTATACACAGCAGCAAAGGTGTCAACCTGTGAACAGAATAATATATTTAAATATTTACAGAAAACACAATTAGGTATAATGAATATAAATAAAAAATATACATATATAGTATTATATTATTCTATGCTTTTGATCTATTTATTTAATTAGTAAAAATGTTAACTCGCAAGAATGTTTCATAAATAACATACAGTAAGACTATATTAAGTACTAAAATTGTATTTACCTTATGTTCAATATTTGTTTGTTCATTTTTGTCCAAATGAACTTTGATGAGCTGTGTACCATCAAGTTTAATTCGAATGCGTTTTCCAACAATCTCTACGGGATACACCAAATCTTCTAACAGTGCATCATATACAGCAGTCAAAGTACGGCTGAAGATTATTTTCATCACATATGTATTGTCAATCAATGTATTATTACGCACAAATAGGTAAATAATGTTTATTAAACATTATCCATATGAATCACACTATTAAATCATACCTTCTTGGTCTCTTTTGCTTATTTTTAGTACGTGTTTTCCTTGTTGGTTTAGGTAGAATTTTACGTTCACCAACAAACATTACATGTTTTCCAGAGAATTTCTTTTCCAGTTCACGTACAAGTCTTGTTTGAATTTTTTGGAAAGCCTTCAGCTTTGGCATAGGTACATATATAATAATGCACTGTAACAAATATTATTTTAAACTTCACAGAGTACCTGTTTTAACCGAATATGATGATATATCTTTTAAGGAAGCTATGTTATAAAAAAATAATATAAGTAACGACAAATTAGTTAAAAAATAAAGAGAATGCTACTTTACCTTTTTGTTATTAGTTTCTATTTCGCGTGCTTTAGTGATGTAAAGTTCTCTCAACTGTGATTTTAAATCACTATTCATTTCTAGCTCTAAAAGAGCTTGAGAAATACTTGCTTCGAAGGCATCTGGTTCAGCTCCACCACTCTTTATTATTTTAGCATTAGCCGTGAACATCTAGAAAAACTTTTGAGGTTAAAATATTGTTTATGTGTAGTTCATCAATTTAAAATTATTTTTCAGTTTCATAATAATTTTAATTACAATAGAATTTTTATTTAGGACATGTAATATACAGAAAAATACAGTTTTAGAAACAAATTTGGCAAATTGCAATATGCTGTCAAATATCTCGAGTTCGTTGTATCATATAAAATCCAATTTTATCAAATTTTCTAAGCACGATCCAAGAAAAAGTCTTAATTCATCTAATAGATTGCAGTACTGCAAGAATCATGCAAAGTAACATTTAATGGTTTGCGGTTCATTTTAATCTTGTTTTTAGTTCAAAATCAAAATCTTAATCGCGTGTACCTTGACGATATCCGGACCGCGTGAAAAGGACTCAGAAGCGGTTAGGTAGAAGTACCAACTGTTTAATGTAGAAAATATTTCTCTCTTTTATTATAATCTATTATTATTTCTTAAAGAACATTATTATCGGTTAGTGTTCTTTAAATACCTTTATATTTTTAACAGTATTGCATTATTTTATTTTAAATATTTTTAAGTAGAAATTGTTTCTAATAATTTTATACTAACATTTTAATCGCATACGTATTTTAATTAAAGTCAACATTTTTATTAATACATTTTATACAAAAAATTATTAACAAAGTAAAGAACATAATATAATTATACAAATATAATCATAATATATATTTTATAATTGCAAATGTTTAAAATTATCTTAAAATAAAATATTTTGTTAAACTGTTTGAATGATGTTACGTCGGGATTTCGTCGGTATTGAAAAAAAAGGATTTCTCTAGACTTATTTGGTTACAGCAGAGATGCCAGAAAAGCACCGCCGGGTGCGCACGCACACATGCCAGATACGCGTACGTGAGCTCGTGGAGTTTCGGAAAGTCGACAAAGGCAAACTGACGCATGCCCTCTTTCTCGATTCTCCGAAGCTGCCCGAAGTAATTTCGGATCGCCTCGTGGAAGTCGAGAGAGAAAGGCTCACATTTGCCTTCTCGCTCTAAACAACTGAAATCCGACCTCCCGTCAACGGCATACGATTTGGATTCTCGAGCCGAGATTCTCGACTGCCCAGGCATTTTTATTTTCCGACCTATGTAGGCGCACATAAGCAAAGTACCCATAATGAAAAAAAAATTTTGTAAAATTTATTTTACGGAAATACACGTTTTAAGACCTCCTGATCATATTTTAATTATTGAAAAAAAAGAAATTTTTTTTATTCCCATGTATGAGCACACATATGTATATTATTATTACGATTGAGTATAAATAGCTAAATGAATTTAAATGAAACTTTACATTTAAGTTTTATGTTCTCATTTCAAAGTCCGGTTAGACTTTGACTATAATCAGTCCATGGATAATAATGATTATACCTCTTGTTTCATAGTTGTTCCGATATATGTATAGGCATAATGTATAAAAAATCTTTTAAATGTTTCATATAAATCTTAGGGCGAATTAAATTTTATATATGTTATACAGACGCGTAGAATGGAATTAGGAATTAAGAAATACATAGGGTATTAGTATACATGCTTTATTCCCATTCTTTCAGCGTCGGAAAAACAAATGAGCCCGTCCTAGGCCTAGACCCTCGCCTTTGTCGTCAGCCTTCTCCCCCATCGGTAGGGGTGGGAGTGTTGACGGACGAAGGCCAGGCGCGGTCCCTTGCCAGCGCCTCGGCTTGGGCCTCGCCTTTTCCCGACGCCTTACATATAAAAAAAATTATATAAACTTTTTCTCTATCTTCACTAGAAAAGAAAAAATTAAATGAAATCTTATACATTACATGCTTACTTAAATCGCATTGAAAACGAATACCACAAATGTTTTAGAATAATGTGCAAAATGTGATTACGATTTTCGCTAAGACAAATTGAAAACTCGGTTCTAATAAGGAAAAGTTGGAATGGTACCCGATTTTGGGTTAGGTTTTACTTTGAGATATTAATAAAGTTATTACAGATACTTATCTTCAGAAATAGAAATACATTCGACAACCAGCGTGGCGTGAATGACAAGGTATTTGCCTGCAAGTTCCGAGCTTCTTCTGCTGTGCAGGTTCAAACCCTGCCAAAACAAATCCTTTTTTTTTATTTTTTCAATCATATTTTAATCGTACACTAAATGTGACATTATATTTTTGTCTGACCTTCGAATATTTTTTTTTTTAAATTGAATTTAACATATGTTACTTTCAATGTACGAAGTACATGAATCTGGATGGTACTTTTCGTAAAAACAGTGAAAACATAACAATTTCAAGCACCACCTACATCTAATGACAGTTCTGTTTTCACAGAAATAACAAAATTTTGTATCTAACTCTGATGGAAAGGCCGCTTCATTTACATTGATAAAATGTGAACGATTTTCGGATAGTCGTACCTTGTAGCTCGTACTTTTTACCTTATACTTCAGGTAAAAACGGATATAGCTGGGAAAAACAGTTTTATGACATTACCTGCTAACTTATGTTACTGTTCTACAATGAAACGCTATGTTTTGTACCTTTAAAAATATTCGACTATGTCCTTTTAAAATTTAAGATACAACCCATACTTTGTATTAAACTGGCAAACGGGATCACTTTTCCTTTGTTTCTAGTTAGTTCTCTTTAGTTCGTCATAACAAATTGATACGGTTATTTCAAAACAATCGAGGAAAATCATTATTAATTAATTTCTGCAATTATTAATTCTACTGTTTTGTTTATGTTATAAAAGTAAGAACTCTTCTTATTGAAAAATACCACAGCGTGCACAATACTGGTAAAGAGTGGAATCTCATTTTAATTTATTAATTTTCAATCTTAAAGTATTTTGATTTTGAAAAATCGTATTAATAATATATGTACATATGTACGCTCATACATGGGACTAGTAAAAAAAATTTCTTTTTTTTCAATAATTAAAATATGATCAGGAGGTCTTAAAACGTGTATTTCCGTAAAATAAATTTTACAAAATTTTTTTTTCATTATGGGTACTTTGCTTATGTGCGCCTACATAGGTCGGAAAGTAAAAATGCCTGGGCAGTCGAGAATCTCGGCTCGAGAATCCAAATCGTATGCCGTTGACGGGAGGTCGGATTTCAGTTGTTAAGAGCGAGAACGCAAATGTGAGCCTTTCTCTCTCGACTCCCACGAAACGGTCCGAAATTACTTCGGGCAGCTTCGGAGAATCGAGAAAGAGGGCATGCGTCAGTTTGCCTTTGTCGTCTTTCCGAAACTCCACGAGCTCACGTACGCGTATCTAGCATGTGTGAGTGTGCACCCGATGGTGCTTTTCTGGTATCACTGTCTTCAATGACGCCTAGTAATTTCATGTCTAAGTAAAACATGTTTGCACTGATGGCATGACTTCAAAGTGTTTAGTGGCGTCACATGGCATTCAACTATCGTTTTAATGTTAGGTAATATACAATTGATATTATTTTCTACAGTTGTATGGAAGAATATCGGTTAATGAAGTTGTAAATTGAGATTGAAAACATGGAAAGTTTGGAAAGAACAGAAGAACGGCCTTCAAAGAAACATTTTACAATATTTGGACAGCGAATTCTTCGAACTCAGTGTCAAAGAGACTCTTTGTTTTATGGTATCATCGGTGGCATGGCTTCTGGGTTAATATCATTTTTATTTACAAGTCAACCAAGAAAGTCTTATTATATAGCAGTTGGGAGTTATGTCATAGGAACACTTAGTTATGGGTGTTATTGTTCCTATCAAGAATATGTAGTGAATGAGCAAGGAAGTGCTATTCAAAGAGCTTTGTACGAATCAAATTTAATGCATTCTGAGACAGAGTCAGATGATTAATCAGATTTAAAATTTGAATCTGTTTACAGTTCTTCTTCATGAAGAACATTATATACATATATATATATGGATGTATATTTGTATGTATTTAATACAAAGGAATCTATAACAAAACCATATATAATGGAAATGTACTTATATTGTTATTGTATTATAACCCATAATTTATGTACATAAATAATTAACGATTTTGATAAGTGGTAATGAAAAATAAAATTTATATAAAATTAAGTAATCGAAAATATATTCATTAGTATTCTATATTTCAACTAAATATAAAGTAGTGATCTATCACACGAAAATAATACCTATTGTTCATTTACATTAGGTCTACGTAATGTATTTTATTTTTATTTATTTAGATTTTTAATTAGTGTTGGGTTGAAAAAAAACAACTTGGTAATTTTCTGATAAAGGAAACATTTATAAATTACAAAGACAATAAATATTTATGACTATACTGTATGCAAAAGATAGCTTATGAAAAGAACACCAGCTATGATTATTGAGAAGAGCAACTTATTTTTATACCTGTAGAACTGCATTTCATTAATTTTATTTAAATTTAATTTGATTAAATGACATTTAATGAAAACTTAATTTTGATTAATCAAAAGTTTATGCCAAGTTTTACAATGAAATTTGATATATTAAAATTAAGATATTTTCAAATTTGTGAGTCACATATTTCGTAAAATAAATCTGTACTTTTTTGAGATGAACAAGTTTATAAGTTTAAATGTAATTAAATAGTATATATTTATAGTATAGATTTGAAAAATGACTTGTAGTTAAATCGTAGCGTTAAGGGGGTTAAAATATGTATTATGATTTAATTAAATTATTTGACAATTCTAAATTTTGTAAAGATTATAGATTTATGTATATAATTAATTAAAGTGTTCCCAGACAACATTTCTTCATTTTATAGTTAAATGGTATTAATGTAAATATATAAAGGGATTTCAAATTATCATATTATCAAATTCACATGAAAAACAAGGTAATGACTAAAGAAGTATAGTAATCAATGTTACCAGACCAGGCACTGGGTGCATCGAGAATTCCTCATTTTACTTTCGCATACTATGCCACGAGTATACGTATGTATATTATTAATAGGATTGAGTCTAAATAGCTGAATAAATTTCAACGAATCTTTACATTTAAGTTTTGTACTCTCATTTCAAGGTTTGATTAGACTTCAAGCATAATCAGCCTATGGATAATAATGATTATTATACTAAAAATTAGTATAATAATTATAAATAAAAATTTCTTTTTTTTCAATAGTTGAAATATGATCAACATGTTGTAAAGCACGCTTCCATTTTTTCTGTTGAATACTTGGCAATGGAAATGACTGTTGATTATGGCAACGTAGACCACACCAAATCTTATTTAATATGCACAGAGTCACTCAGCTTATTACAGAGATTACAAAAATCGTTCTGAGCCTTAAAACCAAATATTTTCAATCATAAAAGTATTATAAAAACATATTACTCATCAATTCAATACATCTACAAAACGTATGAATAAGATTTCGAGGCATGT